TAAAATGTAACATCCCTGAGGTGAGGGGGAGGGATGGAGACACTAAAGCAGCCCACCATGCTAGCATTTAATTTCAGAAAAGGGGTCTAGACAAAAATGAGGATGTTAAACAGAAATTATAAGTTATAGTGCCAAAAGTGAAATCCCGCAAGCTGCATGGAAATGTTATAAAGGCACCATAATAGAGGGCCATTTTAAATATAAACCCAACATTAAGAGGACCATAAAATACCACCATAGCTAAACAACATCGGTAGCACTTAGAGGCATAAACACATCTTTGAAAAGTGGAAGTTAAATCCTATTGAGGAAAATAAACTCTGGCACATAAACTCCGGCAAGTGAAGTGTAAAAATATAATTAGGAAGGTCAAAAAAGAATGTGAAGAACAGCTAGCCAAAAACTAAAAAAATAACAGCAAAAGAATCTTTAAGTACACCAGAAGCAGGAAGCCTGCTAAACAACCAGTGGGGCCACTGGAGAATTGAGACACTGAAGGGGCACACAAGAAAGATCAGATCATTGTAGAGAAACTAAATGAATTGTTTGCATTGGTCTTCATGACTGAGGATATAAGGGAGTTTCTTAAACCTGAGCCGTTCTTTTTAAGTGACAAATCTGAGGAACAGTTCCAGACTGAGGTGTCATTAGAGAAACAAACTGATAAACTGAAGAGTAATAAGTCACATGCATCCGATGGTATTCTGAAGAAATTTAAATGTAAAATTGTAGCACTACTAACTGTGGTCTGTAACCTATCACTTAAATCGGCTTCTGTAACAGATGACAGGAGGATAGCAAATATGTCTTAAAAAAAAAAAAAAAGGTTCCAAAGATGATCTTTCCAATTACAAGCAAGCTATTGGTAAGCAATATTGGGCAAAGTGGTTGAAACCGTAGAAAAGAACAGAATTATCATACACATAGATGAACACAATTTGTTAGGGAAGAATCAACAAGGTTTTTCTAAAGGAAAATCATGCCTCGGTTTACTAGAATTCTTTGAGGGGGTGAAAAAGCATGTGGACAAGGATGATCCAGTGGATATGGTGTACTTAGGATATTCAGAAAGGCTTTGGCAAGGCATATCAGCAATGGCTGACCATTTATTCCTATCCTTTGTTTCCTAACTTTTAACCCAGTGGTACTCAAACTTTTGCACTGGTGACCCCTTTCACACAGTGAATCCCTCCTTATAAATAAAAAAAAACACCACTTGTTTATATATTTAACATATTATAAATGCTGGAGGTGAAGCAGAGCTTGAATGTGGAGGCTGACAGCTCAGGACCTCTCATGTAATAACATCATGACCCCCCCACCCATATTGAGAATCCTTGTTTTAATAAGTAACTGTACTGATCCATGAGAGGACCTTCCCTTCATGACAGCTTCATTTAAGAGCCTTTGGTGAGGGCTTTGGGAGTCACTGTTGATGGTTCCTGAAAACATCCACTCACTATGCAGCAGCACCCAAAAAAGACCAAAACCAAATGAGAATTTTGGGGTTCATTAGGAAAAGAATAGATTATGAAAACAGAAAATATTATATTGCCTCAATATTAATCCATTGTACAACCACATCCTCAGTATAGCTTGCAGATCTGATTGTCCCAGCCTAAAAAAGCTATATTGGAATTGGAAAAGGTTCAGAAAAAAGCAACAAAAATGATTAGGGATATGGAACAGTTTCCATATAAGGAGAGAGTAATAGAACTGGGACTTTTCAGGTTGGAAAAGAGGCAACTAGATATGACAGAGGTCTGTAAATTCATGACTGGCATAGAAAAATAAATAAGGACGTGCTATTTACTCCTTCTCATAACACAAGAACTAGGGGTAACCAAAATGAAATTAACAGGAAGCAGGTCTAAAACAAACAAAAGGAAGTATTTCTTCACACAATTCACAGTCAACCTCTGGAACTCCTTGTTTGAGGGTATTGTGAAGGCAAACACTCTACAGGATTCAAAAAAGAGCTAGATACATTCATGGAGGATACATCCATCAATGGCTATTAGCCAAGATGGGCAGAGATGCAAAACAATGCTCTGAAGTGTCTCTAGCCTTGATTTGCCAGAAGCTGTGAATTACTTGTTCTGTTCATTCCCTCTGAAGCCTTTGGCATTGGCCACAGTCAGAAGACAGGATAGTAGGCTCCATGGACCATTGGTCTGATCCAATATGACCATTCTTATATAGTTCCCCACATTATATTTTTTCAATATATTGATGTACTGTGTTTCATCTGTCAAATATCTCTGTAGTGATGTGCTCAGGTGAGATAAGGAAAAAGGAAAATAAGGATTCAGGAAGATAACATGCAAATTAAAGAGATCTGGCATGATTATACTTAAAAATAGTCAAGGCTTCTGTCTACACACTGAAATTAGTAGGAAGGAAAGTATTATTGAGATTTCTGAAGGGAAATGGCAATTAAGTTCAGTCTGTCAAGTGATAATATTGGAGTATTGTGCAAAAAAAAATTACATTCCCTGAATAGTCTTTCTTGTGCTCTCTCCTACACATAACAAACATACCTTACACACCCTAATTGTTTAATCTCGTCACATAGGAAGATTCATTCCTTCAACGGAGACAGTCTCGGTTCCTATGTCATTTTTCCAGCAGAGCTGTCTCCTCTTCTTCCTCTACCTTTTTTCTTTAAAAAACAGAAGTGACAATTTGAACTTCCTGCTTGACAGGCCTTACTGATATGGGGCTGATAAGCTGATATTTATTTTTTGTCTAGTGGCTTCACAAGCCCTTCTCCTCTACTAGCTTTCAATAACTCCTGATCAGTATCTTTTCTGATAGTGTCACTCTGAATGTTTGCTCTGTGCTGCTGGCTCAATGAGGAGCAACTGATAATAAGACAGAGATAACATTCACCTAATACTCCACCAGGGAGACATGGGAGCTCTTGAACCCAGCAAACTTAGTATATCAAGACTTAAAATTGGCAAGGGGAAACTATATAATTGATTACTAGTTCACAAAGACCAACAAATTTCAAGTACAACAGATTTTGTGACTTTAAAAAAATAAAGCTCTCTCTATGTGATTTTTTTCTTGTATTTGAATAAGATGACTGATATTTTATAGGGATAAGCTAGGTTGTGCCTGAGGCATCTCCAAGAAATGTTAGCCAAGGCAAAAATAGATGAGGCTTCAATTTTTAAGGGTCTCAATAAAGATCCACTAACTCTTACACAACTGCAAGTTATTTACCTTACATCTTTAAAGAGTGAAGTGTTGAGAATTCCTGGGGGTTTTTTTTAGTAGTAATAGTAGTTAAGGAAACTGGCTGATGGTAAAGTACTCTCCATACTTCTGTTTGTGTTTTCTAGATGGCATTCCAATTTAAAGCATTTGATGCTTAGCATATGGACATCTCTAAACTTTCAGTAATTTTAAGGTATAAAAGCTTATCTTATTTTTTGGAATTGTCATTGAAAACCCCAAGGACATCTTATGCTAGTCTCTTGCTTCTCAATGAAGATTCAACTTTGAGAGATAATTTTTCTAAGTGGAATAATACTTTGAAAGGTCCTTTTTTAAAACCCTAATATTTAAAAGTAAAGGTTCAATTTTTGCCTCACAGTGTAATATTGCAAATTATAGATTAATTGAACGATGCTCAGTGTTCAGACAACAAACCTGTGACAAAAGGTGCAATGCTTACTGGTTCTTAATATAGTGCCTACTGGTTTTAGCTGATCCGCCAAAAATAAAGGTTTTTTTTTTTTTTTACTGACCTACTTCATTAAAAAAAAAAGTAGAAACTCTGCAATACTATCAAATACCATTGCTTCCAGCATCAACTGATAGCATTTTACCATTGAAGATGCAAAAATGTAGACACAAACAGTTGTGAATATATTATCATTATTATTTTCATAGCCATAATACATAGTAGCCCTAATCATGATTGTATAAAGCTTCTCTTGTGGATTGTCCTGTAATAAAACATCCTACAAGCAATTACTGCACGGTTATAGGACTACTACCATTAGGTGACTAGCCAAAGCAAAAGTCTTCCTACTAAAGATAACTTTTGTAGCAATGTTTGTATCACCTATTTCTGGAGAAGTATTAAGAGATTCTGACAGTAAATAACCTAAAATGGCTGTTCTGAATGGATTTAAATGAACACTAGCAAGTATTTTGTTTCAAAATGCAGATTTCTGAAGGGAAAAAATTGACTTAAGCTGGAGCCATGAATCTTGCTTTTCTTTGCTCTACTTTGGTGTAGTCTTTATAAAGTACAGCTGGAAGTAAAGGAGTTTTGCACACACTGCATACTCTAGAAAATCTGCAGTAAATAGCCTGCTTTGTTGTAGATATTACTAGGCAGTACATTGAATGACTAATGATCTGTTTACTGATGTAGAATACCTTCTTTTTGAAGAAAGCTTTCATCCTAGTTAGTCCCATATTTTTTGGTACTGTAAGTAATTGAACTGGCTGGTGAAGTGCCTGTTGTGGTTTGGCAAAGGTTGATTTGTCATGCTTTTGCTGTTCCAAGGAGAAGCGTTTCTGAGAGTTCAAGCTCTCCAAAGGCTTTCTGTTAAATCTGTATTATTAACAAATGCTTATTTATCCCAGTTATTAGAAATCTATTGTATGTATGGAATTTATAGTAGAGCTACTCAGATTCGTGGGAGGAGAGGGGAGATACAAATCAGTTGAACATTGATGACTGTCACTCTCCACGAATCATCATCAGACAGCTGATGTTTATTTGTTGTGTATTTTTGTTGATATCTCTTATATTAACCATGAATATATGACCCGCTTTTTGTTGACTCATTCCATCCCAAAGTAGTCCTTACACATAAGCTAACTTTTTTGGATGATTTAAAAGACTGTACTTGACAAGAGTCACCTAGTCTTCTGACGTTCTGGTTAAGCTTGCAGACATAGATTGCACTTTAAAACGAGGAACGTTGTTTCATATTGACTTGTTAAATACTCATTGCCTTGTCTTTGTTTTTCAGCACAAAGCCATGTTAATCCAAAGCAGCAAAGCACTGATAAAGATGAGCTTTATCAGAAAAGTAACCCAAAGAGAGAGCACAGTGTGAAAGAAATCCTGAAAACTGAACCCACCCGTTCTAAAGGAAAGGACTTATTCCAGACTAACATTTCACCAGTTACTCCAGAAAAACATATGGATGACTTGAGGAAAAACTGTAGCCCAGAAAGATCTTTCTTTCCTCGTGTTGTCTATCCAATTCGACCTCACATCCCAGAAGAATATTTAAAAGCTTCCCTAGTTTATGGGATGGAAAGACCAAGCTACATTACTCACTCACCCATCCAGTCTTCTACCACACCTAGTCCTTCAGCAAGGAGCAGCCCAGACCAAAGCTTAAAAAGCCCAAGCCCTCACAGCAGTCCAGGGGTTACAGTTTCACCTCTGGCACCCACTTCTCAAGAACACAGAGAATCTTATCCATACTTGAATGGACCCTATGGCTCAGAAGGATTGGGGTCTTATCCTGGATATGCACCCTCCAGCCATCTCTCACCAGCCTTTTTATCTTCTTATAATTCCCACTATTCAAAGTTCTTGTTACCTCCATACAGTATGAGCTGTAATAACCTCAGCGCTTTGAACAGTATCAATGGCATCAACAATTTCAATCTGTTTCCGAGGATGTATCCTCTCTATAGCAACCTGCTCAATGTAGGAAGCCTTCCCCATCATGTGCTGAGCCCAGCTGCTCTTCCAAGTTCATTGCCACCTGAAGGAGGCCGTAGATTGCTACAACCTGATCATCCAAGAGACTTTCTCATACCAGCACCTAACAGTGCCTTTTCCATCACAAGTGCTGCTGCCAGCATGAAAGACAAACCATGCAGCCCCACCAGTGGGTCCCCCACCGCTGGCACAGCAGCCACTTCAGAACACATCATGCAACCTAAACCTACCTCAGCAGTGTTGGCTGCCACCAGTGAAGAAGCCATGAATCTCATTAAAAGTAAGAGGAATGTGACTGGTTACAAAACCCTTCCATACCCCCTGAAGAAACAGAATGGGAAGATTAAGTATGAATGCAATGTTTGCTCCAAGACCTTTGGCCAGCTCTCCAATCTGAAGGTAGGTATTAAGGCAATAGCCTATTTATAAGGAAAATATTCCCATTAAATTAAATTTCCAACATGATTGAAAGGCTTATATTTTTCCTGCAACTCAGGGAGGTTTACACTACTAGGACAGGTCAAGCTAAGCTATGCAATTTGAGTTGCATAAGTAGTGTAACTCAAATCAACCTAGCTTATATTGACTTACCACTGGGTCCACACTGTGGAGGGTCAACAGAAAAAACTCTCCTGTCAGCTCCTCTTAATCATCTTGTTCTGCTGGAGTATTGGTGTCAACAGGAGACTGATCAGCAGTCAATTTAGTGGGTTCTTTACTAGACTCATTGAACCGCTGAATCAATTGCTGCAGTGTCCAATCCACTCCATAGTGGAGACATGCATCTCCCTAGGAACCATGCTTGTTTTCTTTTAAGAGTTAATCAAGTCACCATAGTATCATGGTAGTAAATGTAATGGTTTTATTTTTTTAAATGTATTTTTTTTTTAATGTTAATAGTGGCCTAAATAAAAAAGTAACTTGATTTCCATGTCATGTTTTCTGCCTGTGGGATGCCTCTAGTAACTTTGCAAATGTCTGATGGTTTGTTTTTAAGGTACTATCTTTGTAGTTATTGGAAACAACAGTAAATGTTTTGTTTCTCATTAGGTCCACCTCAGAGTACATAGTGGAGAGAGACCATTCAAATGTCAGACTTGCAATAAAGGGTTCACTCAACTGGCTCATCTCCAGAAGCACTATCTGGTACACACGGGAGAAAAGCCTCATGAGTGTCAGGTGTGTAGTGTTCCATGCACAGCGAGATCCTCTGCTTCCCTTTTGGCCTGCTATGACATCTGCCAGACAATGCTACTCAACAAGATTAGTATGTTAATTTGGGGCTGTTTGTTTTAAATGTGCAAGTCCAAAGGTGGCAGGTGGCTTTTTCAATGTGCCAGTCTTTCTTATTTATCTGTAATTAAAAACAAACCCTCCCACTAACTCACATTTTTTCTCTGTTGCCTCCAAAATTAGGTCTGCCATAAACGATTCAGCAGCACTAGCAATCTAAAGACCCACCTGCGACTTCACTCTGGAGAAAAGCCTTATCAGTGCAAGCTGTGCCCTGCTAAATTCACCCAGTTTGTGCACCTGAAGCTGCACAAGCGTCTCCATACCAGGGAACGGCCACACAAGTGTGTCCACTGCCACAAGAGCTACATTCACCTTTGCAGCCTCAAAGTCCATCTGAAAGGCAACTGCCCCGTAGCCCCTGCTTCTGGCCTCTCAATGGAGGACCTGAATCGTATCAATGAAGAGATTGAGAAGTTTGACATCAGTGACAGTGCTGACAGGTTGGAAGACGTGGAGGACAATATTGATATGGCATCTGTTGTCGAAAAAGAAATACTGACCGTCCTCAGAAGAGAGATAGAAGGAGCTAGTCTTAAAGTATCTTTGCAGAGAAACATGGGAAACGGACTTATCTCCTCAGGATGTAATCTTTATGAATCTTCAGACATGTCAATTATGAAGTTGCCTCATGGTCATCCACTACCTCTGTTACCTATAAAGGTCAAGCAAGAAACAGTTGAACCAATGGACCCTTAAGACTTTTTTTTCCCAAAGAAGTGATTTTTATTTATGACTTGGCAAGTCAGGGTGCCTGTAGCAATTGCTTGTACATAGTTTCTATGCTGCAAAGCAATCTTGACTTATAGTAGTTTCCCTCATCCTCCAGTTGAAAGAAGGAATTCCAAAGTTACTGTATTCTCAGGGCATGAAAAGAGGCAAGGACTTTATATTGCCTCCCTGCTTACTAAAAGACAATCATCAATCCATAATTGCTTTTTCAATGACAATACTTCATAATTTATTATGCAATTTACCATTCTAAAAGCAATAATTAGCAAAGGTTTACAATGACCAGAAAATTCATTGTAATTTTGCATATAAATCTTTATATTTTTGTCTGTGGCCATTCCTTGTAGATAATTTTTCTCTCTGCACATCTGTTTTAAAAACCTAAGATGAGGGGTGGGGGAAGAAGGGGGAAGAAACATAACGTCAGTAAATGTGTCTATATACCAGTGTTTTTTAAAATGAGATTTTTGGATTGCCAACTGTGGGTATTTGACAGGTTGAATACTAGTTTAATTGGTTTTAAAAGTGCTGTATACTTTCATGGAACAGGTAGATGTGCAAAATCATATTCCTTTCCACCCCTGCAAAGAAAAAAAAGAGAGAAAAACCAAAAACCTTCCTTGACTAGCAGTAAACGGAAAAGAAAACCATACCTGCCTATCTGTGGGTTGTAGAGAGAGTCTTCTACCTGCAGCACTTCCCATAACAGATGTGAAATAACAAATACCCAGCCTCACATAAATAATACAACAGACAGGCTTTTAGAAAACAATAGTAGCCACATGTTACATTCTGCGACTTTGTAACCCAAAGCAATGCATCAACGAAAATGTGAAAAAGTGGCTGTTTTAAAAAAAGGCTATTAAACTTTTTGCTAAAGTAGTTTAAAAGTCAAATATATAGACATCCCAAATGTGCTGCCTACAAGTAGTATTTGGCTGAGATTTTATTGCCAGATTCTTCTGGGGATCAAAAGATGGTCAGATGCCTTGAGAAATAAGGTTTTGTGTTTTTATTTTCAGTTTTATTTTTTTCCTGCTTTCCTTAGGCAGAAAGGGATAATGAAGTCCTTTCCTGGCACATTTTTTTTCTTCCTGTACGATTCAGAGTTTCCTCAATATTTGTATTTGTACATTTTGTGGTTAATTTAAATTAAAGATGAAAAGGGCATTGGCAAAGTTGTCGAACAACAATTACCTCATTGCGTGTGTCCAGTGTTGCAGAAAATGCTGTTTTATCTAATGCTTTGCTACTTTAGAGAAGAAACCAAATGTTAACAGAAAAGATAGAATGCACATTCTTTTATCTTTTTCTTTTGCTAAGCCCAAAGATATCATGTTGGCATTGGAGGTGTAGCAAAGAACACATGTATATTTATAGATATATTTATACCACTATACCATATATGTATATAGATTATATATTTATACCACTTAAGTTGTGAGCCAAACCATGCAATAAAACTTATTTTTCATCTAAGTGTGAAGATCAAATGTTATCCAACTTTGCATATCATCTGATGACACAATGTCAGAATGTTGTGTTAAGGTATTTATCACTTGTTAGTATACATGCACAGTTGCTTATTTGGGGCCTGATCTTGCAAATATTTGAAAGAATAATTTTACTGATGTGTAGTCTCACAGAATTCAGTGTGATTGCACACTTGATAATATTTGCAAGAATGGGTCTTGGATCTCTTCATATCTTTGCTGGTTTTTTTTGTTTGTTTTTGAATAACCAAACAATCAGAAAACTTAACTGAAAATAAAAACTGAAAAATAAACTAAAAGAAATCAACCTCATCCATGTATGGTATAAATATAATACACAATGGTGACAAGTGAAATGGACTATTTAAAGTAATTTGGGATGACCCTAATGTCTCATTTTTCCTTGCCCCTTACAAGTTATGTGGTCACAGGTTATTTGCAGAAACCTAAATAGCATTATTACACCCTTTACTGCTGTATATATTCTGTCTTTCTATTTATATTCTTATACATTATAGATTTAAATAGACCATAAAGGCAGGGTTTGGGGATTTTTTTAAAATGTCATTTGAATGCCTTCTACAAATGAATAACTAAACCCCCAACCTAAGAAAATCCAAGGAAGTCTCCAAATACAGCTTTTGAAGGACTACAGTTGTATGTTCATTACATTTCTATTCCTATAAATTGTGAGGCTGACATCTTTTAATGTAGCAATGGTTCACAAAACTAGTACTTAACTGTAGGATAAACCAAAGTATCACTACTGTCACTGGGCACACACTTCTCTTTTAATTTTCCTATAGTGCTTTCTTTGTATTTGTTACAAGTTTTACAAAGATTTATATGCATCAGCTTTAAGAATTGTTTCTCTTCCGTACTGTTTTCCCCACTTCCCTTAGAACTTTTACATGTGAATGTAGCAGCAATCAACAGTGTTTTTTCTCTTTTAAGAAAGACTCCGACCAAAGTTAACAGGCTTTTTACTTTGCTAGAACAAACAAACTATCTTATGTTTACGTACTGGTTTACATCGTTATTTATGTGCGAATTGTCAAAATGTAAATTAAATATAAATGTTCATTGCTTTATTAACGCTTCACTTGTCTTCGATGTCTTACGCTGTCTGCACACGCAATTGATTTCCAGGCTACATTCCCACTCTTAGCCACAAACACATTGCATATTGACAACATTCATGTTGTGAATAATGCTGACTTTTGCTTTTGTGAGGAGTTGTTTCTTTCTATAGTTCAAATGCAACATATAACAATGCCAGGGTTGAGTATAGCATTTTCTTAACTAAATCATGATCTCTCAATTTTTAGCCTATAGCATTTTCTTTGTTTTCTTTAGCATTTCAAAGGTTATGATGAAAGCATTTTTACAGTATCTGCCTTTCAGAGACATGACCCAGGTTTTAATATTACATTTTTTTCCAAATGCTTATCATTTCTGGCCTGAAACTGTAACCACTGGGACCACAATGAGACAATCACAATATTAGCGTGAGACCACTTAATACTGTATTAACACGGTGGTAACTACATTCAAAACAAATGTGGATCTCACAAAATAGATGTGCTTATGAACTAATCCTAGAAAAAAAGTTTGAGCTCCCTCAGCCAAAACTAAATACTACCTGGGGATCCTTCTCAAAGTTAAAGCCATGCTTGCTACTTCCATCATCCACTACTAGATCTAAAACAGAATAGGCCATGTGGCCTTTTTTTCTTACCTGAACGTTAAAGAAATAATGTTCCTTACACTCAGCACTGTGTGATGTTTTAAAAGTATTTCACTGTCCTCTTTAAATTCATTTAAACATCTGTCTCAAGAACTTGAAATATTGCCAACAGCGAACTGTGGAGTTAAGAAAACCAGAGCACTGTTGTCATAAATGTGCCAAATGGTGCATGTTATACTCTTTTATTCTACAGAGCAATTGCTGCAATATTTTTTTTTTTTAAAAAGGATAACCGTTACCACTATAAATCATAGTTCATTACTTGGCAAAGCATTGCTTTGTGCGGGAGACTTATGTCCTGGGGACACTGGTAAGCTTTAGAAGATGTTTAATAAACCACATTACATAAAAAGACAATGCACATTATACCTCACAGCCTCATTAGCTTGAAGTCAGCAGCTGTTGCATTTGGTTTTGGTGAAACTGAAGCTAGTTAGCAGGCATTAAAGACAGCATATTGTGACCAGAAATACAGTGGGTTAAAAAAAAGATAGGGTTATTAACTGTGTAAGAAGTAAACTACAGGTTGGACCTCCCTGGTCCAACATCCTTGGGACCTGACTGGTCCCAGATGAGGGATTTTTCCAGACTAGGTGAGGTCATTTCTGGCCCCCTTGCTCTCAGCCCAGCAGAACCACACACCGGCTCCCTATCTCACCACCACCACGGCACAGCATATGAGCCCCTTGCCAGCTCCTGGGCCCCCACCTCCACAGCACAGCAGGACTCTCTGTTCCTGGAAACATCCATGGTCATGCTGGACCAAGGATGTTGCTCGACTGCTTCATAGGGACCCACTCTTAACAAGGTAATGAGTACTTACAGCTTACACTGAAGAAGTGGGGTGCTTATTTACTGGACCTTCTCAGTTAAGGTCTTTACAGAAGGCTTATTGTTAAATTCAATTTTAAGTATTAGGGGGGAAAACTTCTGATTTCCAATAGTTTTGCTACTGACCTTGGACTACCACCACAAAAGTCCATTGCAACCAAGGAGAAAAGAAGATTCATGTTCAAATCCCTGCACCACATCAGACAGGAATTAAGCCAGGGTCTCCCACATCTGATTTAAGGGCCCTAACTATTGGGCTAAAAGGTATAAGGGAGGAAGCTATCTTCTCCTCCTCTGTATGGAGTTAAACTTGCTCTGAGCACACCTACTAACCCATGCCCTACCTCGCTTTCAGTTGGGGCAATGCTAAGTTTGAGGGGTTGCTGGAGCTTACCAGTGAGGCAGGCTTTGCTCGGAGCCAGGACTGAGGCAGCTGTGCACATATTCAACCACCAAAACATAGGGTGTGTAGGGACCCCTGATAGCAAAAATGTTGATGCCGAGATGCTTCAGGTGCCTACAGTTAGGCAGCAGTGGAGCAGCAGTTTTAAAGCTCCCATGACATGCCTAAATGTTGGATTTAGGCATCTAATGCCATGATGCTGGAGACATGAGCAAGCTATAGTCAAGATCAATCCCAATAAAGCCTTAAAAAGTATTTTCCATCACTAGTAAAATGTAGCGCCCTGTAGCTCATAGCTAGACTCTAGGACAAGACTGAAATAATCTGTTACTGTAGGTTCTGCTGAACTAGCCAAATGAAAAAGGAGAGAGCGCCACTATGAGCTTTCACTCAGGCTATGTCTAGACTGCAGGCTTCTTTCGGAAGAAGCTTTTCCGGAAGACATCTTCCAGAAAAACAACTTCTGAAAGAGCCCGTCCACACTGCCAAAGCACATTGAAAAAGCATCTGCTTTTTCGACAGATAACATCCACACTGAATGGATGCTCTCTCACTTGTAAGCTGTGATTATTATGGGCAGAATGGCCACCAGGGCACCTGTGCTTTTTCCTCTTTCTTCTTCTTGTAAAAGAACTCCCTCTTTCCCCTCCACACACAATTTTTTCTGAAAGAGCTCTTTTGCAAAAAGGCTTCTTCCTCGTAGAAAGAGGTTTACCAATGTCAGAAAAACCTCTCTGTTCTTTTGATTTTTTTTTTTTTTTTGAAAGAACACCATTACAGTGTGGACGTAAATGAAGTTTTTTCGGAAAAAACATGGTTTTTCCAAAGAACGCTGTAATGTAGATATACCCTCAAGAGATGAAGCCTTTCAGGTGTAACTCACTAGTTTAAAAACTTCGGATTTCCAATAGTTTTGCTACTGACCATACAACAATGCTCATTCCAGGATTGGGGCCAAAGACTTGTTAAGAGGTATGAAAATGGTTATGTAAACAGTCTGCCATGAAACACTCAGTTCAGTACTGCCTATGATAAACTAAAATGGAGCCTGTAAAGGTAAATTGTATCCCTATAACTTGCCAGAATTCTTAAAAAGAAAAAGAAAAACAATCCTGGCACAAGGATAATTAGCATTATTTATTTACAATCGCAAAAGGATTTTAATAATTATAACACAAGGCATGAGAATGAAGGAAATATAACTACTATGATAAGGTCTAGTAATAGCTCTTAAAATAATGAAATGGGGAAAATATAAAAAACAATTGGTTTATCCTTAATGTAGAAAGATGTGGACTCAATATTTTACAACTTTCAAGAGGAAGTGAATTGTGAAGTAGCAAAATTCAGTGACAATGACAACACATCTCTTACTGAAGACTGAGAGAAACTCCAGGAGGATCTAAATACCCAGGAAACTGAGTAACCCAAAAGTAGGTGAAGATATTCTTTAGAAGGAGGAAAGAGTCAAAGATGGCCACTCTTGCACCATGCTGGCGACCACTTGCTTTCTGTAAGCCGTCCTTCACTGCCATGCTTGATTTGAAACCCAGTAGATGATAGCTGAGAGCAGTAGCAGTTGTAGAGTGGAGAATGAGGCTACATCTACATTGGCGTGAGCTTGCGCAGAAGTGGCTGCTTTTGCACAAAAACTTGCTGCCTGTCTACACTGGCCGCGAGTTCTTACACAAGAACACTGACGTTCTAATATATGAAATCAGGGCTTCTTGCGCAAGAACTATGATGCTCCCGCTCAAGAATAAGCCCTCTTGTGCAACTGTTCTTGCGCAAGAGGCCAGTGTAGACAGGCAACATGAATTTCTTGCACAAGAAAGCCCGATGGTTAAAATGGCCATCAGAGCTTTCTTGCACAAGAGAGCATCTACACTGGCAAGGATGCTCTTGTGCAAAAGTACATGCCAGTGTAGACGCTCTCTTCTGGAAGAGTTTTTGCACAAGAATTCTTCCGCAAAAGAGTTCTTGCGCAAGATCATGCCAGCGTAGACATAGCTTAAATGTGCTCCTTGCTGAAGAAACGCTACTCTAAACACTTGCCTACACAGAGACTGAGGATGAAGAGAACCATTTTGGTAGCCATAGTGGGGCCTTGGAAGGAGCTAGCTGAAAGAGTGATTGAAGCCATTTTAAAGAGGGAAGCAATTGTGCAGCTGTGTGCTACAATTTTGCCTGCAATTTTATGCAAATGCCATTTCCCTTCACTATTGTTGGACATCTATAAGGGCCAGAGCATTGAGGAACTAGGAATTAAGCAGAAGTATTACCTGCTTCAAAAGAACCTGGCCTGTAAATCAGTACAAGTACTGTGTGTCCTCCAGGCTAAGGGAAAAGTTCTTCAAAAGAGAATACTGGATGTTGTTAGCAGTTCCATTGGTATAGCTGATTAGTGTCATTATATTCATTTCTCAGACAGGAAAATGAAGCCCTGAGCAGTGAAATAACTTGCCTATGGGTAACTGCAAATCAGAGGCAGAACAGAAGGAAAGCCCAGGGTTCAGACACTTTCTAACCACTCAACCATGCCTCATGTTCCAGCTACTCAGAAGGCTGCTAGTTCAAACTGGTGACTCCATAAAAGGCAACTTTACCAACCAAATGGGAGGGAAAGACTGGATCTGCTGCTGGGCCACAAGAGCCATTAGAAAATCATTAGAGTTAGGCAGGATAATAAGTTGGTGCTTTTGACAGATGAACAAGTTGGAGCCAAGCCAGCCTTAGGAAGAACTGCTGCCACCTAATATCTCCCTCTTTGCAAGGAGCTACCCTTTCCCTCTCTGCATGTCATTAGAGCACCTCACACATCTAAAAAAGCCAGAGATCCAGCAGGGAGAGTGGAAAGAGAGAAGGAAAGTATCCCTCAGGCCATCAGCCAAGTGAGAAAAATCCCTGAAATGCCTGTAGCTGGGGGCAGGGAGGTGAGAAGTGATACCCAGAAGCACTGGGAAGCCCAAGAGATAGAGCAAAACAGAGCTCCTGCTAGGATTGAAGCCCAGCAAATAGGGCATCACTTAGATAAAGGGAGCTTGTTTTCATTGGAGAGATGAGGGAGCTGATGTTTTCATTTTAGGGTTGTTTTCCCTTCCCCCAAGGCAAACTTAGAAGTGGGAAGGATGAGGTATGGGACAGAAGTTTTTTCCTCTTAAAAGAAAG